AGAAAAATTGTTGTTGCACAGTGCAAGTATCATCGATAGAGGCAGAAGAACCAGGGATGGAGCTACTTGTAAAAGCGATCAAGATAGCATAGATAGAGAGAAAGATGAGACATTTAGTTAGCCAGTATCTTACCTTTGCCCAATTTCTTGAAGGAGGGTTGGATTTTCACTAAAAAACCGGGCTTTTTTTGCAAGGGACTCATTCATTATTCTTTCCAAAGTTATCAGTAGTCCAAGACAGTCAAACATGTACAGAAAAACACATGTACAGATAATTTATAATTCATATATGGCAATCTCTTTATTTAGATTTTTAAAATTGTGAATATTCAGATTCTGTTTTGTCAAATAGACCCTAAATGTCTATACAATAATTAAACTAATCCAAGAAGTCGTAACTTAAACACAAAATTTGTAATATCAATTTGACCTCTATTAATAGCAACCCGTGAATAGTACTCATGACGCAAATAAAAAAATAAAAAAAATCTAGAATCCCTAAAAATAAACGCTAAAACCTAAAACTAAAACTAAAATATACATCCTTTGAATTTATACGAACATTAACAATAAGAGTAATTTTGCCCTGCATCATCAGATCGCTTCCCATAATGCGGCTATCATGTGTGCTTGCCAAGTGGTGGTTGTTGAGGATGTGGCCCTTGCCCTCACAAACCTCTAACTGCATGCAGGAGATCACCAACCTCTTGGCTTTGGAAAAAAAAAAAAATTCCTTAGGAATTTCTCTGACCTCAATGAGGGATTACCCTACAATGAAACCCTCTCATGTTGAAAAAAATATTTCACACCCCTGAAAGCCCTTCCCCCCTCAAAGAGGGGGGGAAATAACAAAAAATGACTTGGCAGGGGCATTTTCCTGCTCTCTCACCAAGGGCTTCGAGGCGCTACCTTGGCAAAGGCGGGCACCTAGGTACGTGGTGGAGCACTTAGGTGGATTCCTTGGCACCTCTACATCTAGGCACCCCGCCAAGCCCATTGTGGTTTGGAATCCCAGCCGCCTAGGCGTCCAGGCAGACGAATTTTCAAACACAGTTTATAACTGTTTTCCTATCCAACAAAAATTCATGCTTCCATTTTACAAAAAAGTTATTGTCCTTTGACTCTGATCTATACGAACATAAGCATGGCATCCAAATGATCGAGGAAATGAGAAATCTACTTGCTTTCTATAAAACATTTCATAAGGATTTCGGCCATTCAAAATATTAGAGGGCAATCTATTTGACATAAACAGCCGTGTGTTAAGCTTCAGTCCGTAGGTATTTTAGTGAATATCAAGGAAAGGGTAACCTCGCCAATATGGCAGTGCTTTTGTTCTGCTACTCTGTTTTATTGTGGAATTTGTCGGCAGAAAATTTGTTGCTCAATCTCATTGTTCTTTAAGTAGTTCTTAAATGCATGATATGAGAAGTCACATCCCCCATCATTGTGAAAAATAAGATTGCTCCACAAAAATGGTTCTTAACAAATTTTTAAGTTGTAGAAATGTTTCAACTACTTGAGATTTTTCTTTTGAGGAAAGAAATCCAAGTATACCGTGAAAACATCCATAAAGATCAGATAACACTTGGTATGAAAGAAGAAGCGATGGGTGCATGTCCCTGCACATCATAATGGGTTAATTCAAAAGGCGAGGAAGCTCTTTTATTTGAATAGTAAAAGGGAATTTGGGAATGTTTACCCAACTGACAAGCATGACATAAAAACAAGTTCTGGCTCTTAGATAATGATGGGATCAAACTCTCTTTACATAACCTCATGACTGACTCATGGCTGCAATGACCTTGATGTGATGGCTAACATTGACATCCTCATTTGTTTAAAATGAAGATACTAATAATGGGAGCATCCTCAATTCATCATTCAAGACGTGTGGTCGTCCTTGTGGAATGACCTAAATGAATGTTGTCCTCAATAAATAGATCCTTTAAAAAAACTTAAGAACGGTGTAAAAACAAAGTTTGACCTATTTTCTTGAGTCAATGGAGAGACAGAAATGAGGCCATGCTTGATTTTAGGGACTAAAAATACATTATTCAAAAGAATGGTACCTTTGGAGCAATTTACAAGAACATTTCATAAGAATGATACCTTTGTCTTCATTATTATTTGAGCTTTATCGCTTATGATTTTATCGATTGTAACAGTCTCTACTATAGGATGATCTCAATGACCATATATTTGATATGCCACCCTGTTATACCTTGGTCTGTATTCTGTGGGCTGTAAGTGGCTGCTCTTTGACGACCTCTATAGCTACCGACCACGTCTGCCATTAAATGTTACAGGGTTGTTAGCTGTGATTAGCACGTCATGAGAACGTTGATTTTGGGTGTGTTCGGTGTAGGTTGGCTATGGAAGAGGCTCATGTTGTAGTAAGATTGGTTGTACCTCTGAAAATGTGGGAAATATTGGAATGGCAGTGACTGGGTGATGAACATTTTGTATTCATAACAGTTAACAGCATTAAAAAAAAAAACATTTTGCATTCATTGTTCAGGCCAGCAATGACATAGTCTACTTTCTCTTTATCACTGACAGCTTGTTGGGTCATGACAAGCTAATTGCAAAGTCCTTTAATTCTGTTATTACATTCCATGATCATTATCTTTTCTTGCCCACGATGCTAAAGTACAAGCTTCAAGTGCATCAATCGTGCCACTGATTCCTGTGAGAAGGTTCCTGTAGAGCCTGCAGCTATGGGCATTCTAATGACTTATAGGATTCATTCAGATAGAGATGCATTGATCCATCTGATGAGTTGTTTATCTGTAGCAACCAATTCTTCATATGCGGGTTTTGTGAATGAGACTTCTTTTGTTTTTCCAGTCTCATCAAGCTCACTTTTGATAAGTAGTTTAGAAGGGGGTTTTGAAGAACCATCTAAATGTCCCATAAGTTTCTGACCACGATGGTTTGATGATGGCTTTGCATGTTGTGAATTTGGACGAATTCAACTTTGTAGTGACCATAAAAATGGGTTGGAAGGAGGCTCTATATTCGGCTAGAAATTGAGAAGAAAGGAGAAGATTGCTGGAATTTCAGGAATGGTTGCTGGAATTTCAGGTGTGTCATGGCCTATAGAAAGAAAAATGAGCACGTGGTGCCCCAGAGGAAGAAAATTGGGCACATGATACCCGATAGGGATGTCATGGACTAAATCTTAATCGGTCTACTCTAACGGAAGATATGTGCACTAAATCTAATAAATCTTTTCTCCTTGAGGGAGGATTTATTCCTAAGAGAGAATTTGTAGACTAAATCATGTAAATCTAGCATTCAGAGGGAGGATTTTGGGATTTTGATTATGAAACACTAAAAGAAAGGATAACTAGGGCTTCAAAGATATATAGGGTTTTGAAAAAGAAAATCGGAGCAATAGAAGAAAAGGGGTGCATAAAGATAAAATTGGGGTTGAGAGGAGGAGATGTTTAACCTTGTCTAAGAGTCAGAATGACTGTTGTTTGCTGAGAGAACTTTGAAGAAAGTGGTAGCTGTTTGTTGAGAGAAGAATGAAGAATATGTTGGCAGAATATTCTTGAGGGCCTTGAAGATCTAGGGTTTTTGAACTCGCTTTGATACTGCTCTGCCCTTTGTTTTCCCTCATTTGTTTTTTTTTTTTGGAATCTAATAGGCCCAGCCTGGCCATTGCCACTTTGGCTTGATCCGGGCCCGGCCAGACTCCCACCTATGTGAGAGACGTGCTATGCGGGGGCATAATACCGGCCCACATAGGTGGGGATATGTGGTGTGCTCAAGGGCACATCAGCTTTGATGAGGGGGCATAAAGCGTTATGTGGCTGCATTTGATTATTATGATTTGGAACATATCCTTGCAGGGTCTTATTCTCCTTGGGCTGGTTGGTCCGACTCTTAATGGGGAATGACTAGCTTTTGTCTATCTTTTATCCCATCATTAAGCTCTTGGAGATGTAAGATAATATTGCTGTCCAATGCAGTGCAGAAGCAGCATTCATCATTGTGCTTGTGACATGTAGTGGGCCAGTTGGCTTCTAAACCTACTTCAAGATGTTGACTTGAAATTCACCATCTTCTATATATGGTAACAGCAATTGCTCATTTGGTTTGCTTTAGTTTTATAGAAAATGTGGCATTAGGCATTGAATTTCATTTTCGTAGGCAGAAGTTGTTACTTGCATTGTCACACTTCTCCATATTCTCATGACCAAACAAATATTAAGGAAAGCCATTGCTTCTGATCCTGCTGGTCACACTCTCTCATCATAATGGTGATCTTCCATATTGAATTATGAGGAAGTGTCAATGGCATATGTGTATGTGCGATAATGTAATTTGTTATATACATGAAGGGTTTTTTCATCTCTTGTACTTGGCTGATATTTTGGTAATGTTCCCTCATGGGTAAGATGTATATAAGCAATAACACATTTTTTCTGTTCTCTTATGATTTAGTGAATTTCACCTTCATCTCCATTATTCTGCGATCAAATCTGTCATTCATAAAAGTATGGATAAATCCATTTATCAGAAGGAAGTCTGGGTAAGCGTAATGATATGTGACAAAATCACATATCTTACATTGAAAGCAGAAAGTCAACTTGAGAACTAGTTTCAATATTTCTCCATGAACCTCAAGATGCTCAAATTGGAAGCTTTTTGTCCCCTAAAGTAGCAACCCAATTTTTAGATATCTCTGAGCTTGTTAAATTTTTTTGTTCCAATAATGTTCTTTCACTGTGGGGTAGTGTTTGAGTTGCATACTGTTTCTATCGTTGTAAGTATTCACATGGGCATGCATAACTGAAGGTATTTTGGTGTCCCATAAGAATTGCTTATGTATTTATGCATGTGTGTATGCGTATGCAGTGTGTATACTGTATAGTGTATATTATATTGTACATATAACATGGTATAAACAAGAATATATCGATATACTTGTGGAGAAGTATTAAATGTATTACTTGGCAGTAATGTGACTTTTCTTGACAATATGTAAGGTTTGATGTTGATGTTCCTGGTGGCATGGTATACAAAGAGAGTGATTTTACCACGCCAGGTACGTTGTTTTTTATTGATCTGGATATGAACTTTAATGGGAATGCATTTTTATGATCATAGTCATTATTCCTTTATTATATTATGTCAGTTAGCTATGTGAAACTACCACGCCCAAGATAGTGTAATAATCACTTTTGGAAAGCGTGGTTTATTATTGTTCTCCTATTTATTTCCTTCATAATTTACACAAGTGAAGAAATCTGAACTAGACCGAGGGTAGGCTGGTTTGAAATGGGACTTTACATCCATGTCGACACTCCTAGTTTGTTGATTCCTATCTCATGTTCAATATCAACTTCATGTGCCTACTAAAAGAAGTGATAATGTGGAATTCAAGGCAATAAAATAAAAAAAAATTGTTTTTCTTTTATTAGTCAATCCGAATTCCACTTACAAGTGCTACAAAACACTGCTGTAAATAAGAAACAAAACCTTGAATACAGCCTAAGACCTTTTCCATTTACTGCGACATTGAATAGACACAATCTAGGAATTAAATTCAAGCTTCCACTAACAATTTCAATACAAATAATGTTCATGGAAATTTAAGAAACAATGCAAATATGACTAAAAAAATAAAAGCTAAAAGCCAGGATGACTTACGCGAACTTGCCTAGGGTTACCCCTATAGGACTTAGTACACCCACACTTGATTTCTTGACCGATGACATACTTCAATCTTATTGGTCTTGCTGAATTTTCAGAGCCAGGAAGCTTCCTTAGGCAATGCTTCTTAAATTATGGTTTTAGAGAGCATAAAACACAAGTAGGGTTTATTGGAACCCCTTTTAGAACAATTAGGGCATGCCACAAAGGCACCTCCCTTTTCTAAGGCTTGGTGTGCCCCCTATCTTCAAACCAATGGTTTAAAAAGCGGATCGGTGACCCTGATCGGGCATCTCAAAAATCGATCCGGATCGGTGAATCGGCGATCCGGATTGGGAATCGACTGAATCGGTCTGATTAAAGCTTCAAAAAAATCCAAAAAAAA